GGGATATACATTTGTTTTGACCAAAATAACTCCAGGAAAACAAACAGAAAATTATGTAGGAATTTAAACAAAAATTGAATTAGACATTTGATAGCTAAAACTTTTTGTTGTTGTAAAATGATTCTCAAGTTAATGAGGGTTCTCTATGAACTATGTGACCTGGTGCAGAGTGTTGAGTGTGTAATACTCCCCATTCAGGATTCCAGTTATTCAGTCCATTCTTCCTTGTGTATCATTAGCATTCTTTCACTACTGAACATATGTAGCCTTAATTGGGTTCCCTTTAGGACTTTTTTTTTAAATACAAAACAGGTTTGTTGTCCTTGGAATTTCCCACCCTTCTGGTTGTCTCTTTTATGTGAAATAAATGGAATAATACATGTAACTAGAGATTAATTCTCTAGCATGTGAGAATATGCATGTTGACTAAGCCATAAAGGCTGACCATGTGGGGGAGATTAGTTGCTACCAGAAGAGAGAAATATGCAATATGGCAATTTATTTGATGTCTCAGCCAAAGAAATAACATCATGAACTTGAATATGAATCAGTACAATCCTTGGTAGGAATGTAGTACATAGCAGAGACCACCACAGCTATTTGTAAGGTGGTTGAAGCTGCTGGCCATTTCAGGTACAAGGCCATGCAGTTTTTTTGTGGGTAAAACTGCAAAATGGACAAAATGAGCCACAGAAAGCTGGCTATTGGAATTACTATGCTGAAGAGCAAATTATCAAGGAAGAATGGTTGTTTTCTGCCCTAGAGGGATTTTAAAAAAAGGAAACTGCTAGCTTGCCTTTTGAAAGCTGTCCGATTCATATTTCTGTCAGTTCCACATAAGTCGCTAAAAAATTACAACTTACTTCACTAGATTTTGGGAAGATTTAAACATATATGAACCATATTTTTTTGATGTTAACTTTCTTGTTTCACATGTAAGACTTTCTTTGTCTGTGTCAATTATACTCGAGTTTAAATAATTTTAAAAGAATGAATGCAACCTGTGTATATATCCTGGTAAGAAAGCCAATTATCATACCTCTGTTTTCAGTATTGTTGGATATCCCAAAAATTATCTTATATTTTTTCAACTTTATGCAACTTCCAAAATATTGTAATATGTTTAGGTTGATAAAAGAAGCTGGCAAACAAGACCCAGAGCTGGCTTACATCAGCAGCAATTTTATAACTGGACATGGCATTGGAAAGAATCAGCCCCGTAGCAAACAGATGGAAGTAGAATTCCGAAAGCAGGAAGAGGTAACTGTAATGAAAATAATTGTCTAAAAATGTGGTGTATTTTCTTGCATTTGAACCTTTCACTAAGAAATTCCCCTTCTTGAATGTTGTGAACAATCAGTATTTAAAAGGAATGTATTTAAAGCTGCTGAAACAAATTGTATATGAATTTTAAAACATAAATAGAAAAGCAAGGCTAAACATTAATATCTCTGATTTTCTTGAATGATAGCACTTATCTTAATATTTAAAAATTAAGATTGTTGTTGAAAATATTTCCCCTTCTTGAATGTTGTGAACAATCAGTATTTAAAAGGAATGTATTTAAAGCTGCTGAAACAAATTGTATATGAAGATTAAAACATAAATAGAAAAGCAAGGCTAAACATTAATATCTCTGATTTTCTTGAATGATAGCACTTATCTTAATATTTAAAAATTAAGATTGTTGTTGAAAATATTGTAGGGTAAAAATAAGTATTTTTAGCAGCAGTAGCTGCTCCTGCTCCTCCTCCTCCTTCTCCTCCTCCTGCTCCTCCTCC